AGACATGAATATGGACCAAGTCATGAAAAAAAAAAATGAAATTTCAAAATATAAATGCAATTAGCATCCTTTTTTTTTCCCTCCCTATCTGTCAATGTTGCATCATTTATGAAAATCATGAACTACATTATTATACCAATTAAAGTTGTGCTAGCATGCATGCAGCTAGGTGAATGTGACATTGACATATCTAATTATGCCTTTTGTTGTAGAAAATTAGAGCTCAATATTCTACGCTCGTGTGTTATGTCAATTGAGTTTTAATGCATGGTCCGCAAACCTAAGCATAATAAAAAGCCTTTTAGATTTATCAACCAATTCTTAAGATAACGTTTGTTTTTTTGGTATATATTCACGAGCTTCTCGCGAATAAATCAACACGTCCAGCAAATGCCAACCCCAAAAAAAGTTCTTTATACCTTGTGACACCACGTACAATGATGGAAAAATAATGCCTCTAAAGTATTTTGGGGAAAAATTGAGTACAAAATCAAACCATATAGTATTCATCAAGATGATATGTAGCTATTTTTTTTTTTTTTAAAGCGTTTTAATAAATTGTTTAAAAAATAAGACATAACATCTTATTAATTCAGAATGAATATTGCAAGTTTGATTAAATATAGATAAATAACAAAGACAGACATACTGTTTGATTATTCTCAAGGATGATAGATCCGCATTAATAGCTTCAAAATATTTCAAGTGGATTAAAAATTAGTAATTGACAGAAGAAAACACAGGTTTTGGTGGGAGTTGACTTTACAGTTATGGTTGTGTGAATCTTGCACAAACCCCACCTTTTATTTATCTTAGTTTTGTTAATTTTTATTATTAGGCATTTAATATGTATTCCCCACAAAAATTTAAATGAAAAAATGTCCACATAATTCTAATTATTCTTAGTGTCACATCGTACTATAAATGATTAACTTAATTGAGGTTGCTAATCGATATATTTGATTATTATGAACCTTAGATTAATTAGGTGTTTACTGAAACTCATTGGTTGATTTGCATGGCCCCAAATCATATTTCCATGCATAAACGTTCGATTAATTAAAATATATTATTAACTTATTATCATATTGTGTGGACTATAAGAAAGAATATTAGTGGGATACTTCTTATGCCCTCAATAATTGTTCTATAAAAGGTTTTTATCGTCTATTTGTAAATGTTTGTTTGCCCCACGTGAGTGACATCTCACCCCCTTGTCTAGTTGGTGATTGTAAAATTGGAAATTAATTTATATAGGTCTATTATTAATTAAAATCCAATTTGAGATTTATCACTTCTCATAAAAATTATGAAGTCAGCGGATGACTGACTCTCGTATTGTAGTCATTTTATGAATTAATATTAATATATTGACTAATGCCATATAAGTGTATTCATTCATCCTGTAGCTGTTTACCAAAATTGTTTCATCTCTCAGAGTTGTTTAATTTGGACATCAATTAATTAACATTTTGAGTATTTTTTGGTACATTAGTTCATTTACAAAATAGGAATGTTAGTGGCATATTATTTAATCAATCAGTTAATGCAATAAATTGACCGCACCTAGACTAACCTTTCAACACATATATTTGTTGATTTTGGCATATGTAGTAAGTAATTAGAGGCCCTAAACAAGCTTATAAAAAAAAAATGGAAGCCATCATGGAAAATATATTTTATTGTCTTAATGTGACGTCGTTTCCCTCTTTACACAAGCAAGAGATTTCATTTTAATTGTTATCCTCACCAAAATATGGGCTTGCATAGTTGGGCCCCAGCTCTTTGGCCCATTGTGTAAAACTGAACTTGATAATAATTAGAAAATGGGAACTTCGATTAAAATTTAAAACATAACCAAAAGAAGGAAAAGAAAAAAGTCAGAATATGCTTGTACTTGCCACTATTTTTTCAGCTTCTCAAGAGGAATCCATAAGAAACTGCAGCAAATAAAAATTGACCATGGCAACAAATAAATTTCACTTCTGACAAAGTAGATACTGAAACAAGCGATTGATATTTAGACAGTTATTATTCATTCCTTCATCAACCTACATGAAGCAACCAACCAGTTGACAATTTTTCATATCCGAAGGTTCAGCCATTCTTTTTTGTTTTCGGTTTGTGCCTCCTACATTTACGCTCTCCATAATGTAAGACTGCAGATCATTGAGTTGTCCGAATTTGGATATCAAAACAACAGGAAACGAAAATTACTCAAGTTCCACCTCAAGGTAAAAGCTCGTGAAGGTTAAGAAAATTGTCACTCAAGTTACTGTGGGGAAGAGAAGCTAAACTGCACCCCACTCTTCCCTTGGTCGTGTCCCTGCTGTTTCAAAATGTGGCAGTAGTTCACCTGACAGTCATGTGAAGCAGTTAGCAATTTTACCTTCTTTATAGGCAGTACACAAACGGAACGAAAAAAAAAAAAAAAAGACATTGTGGCACTTGACTACTTGAGGGTTAATCAGATCATTGTGTATTCCCAAATAGGTATTTTAATTTATTTGCAAAGTGCATCCTCTAACTCCTAAAGGGTTATCTGTTACAAAACTCAAGAGGGTGTTTGTATGAATACCTAAATCGGGATGTTACAGCTCTGATATATGCATGTAACCTAAAACGGGATACTACAGTTATGTTATTCATGTCCCTCTCGTTTTCGAAATCAAGCACTACATTTGCCATTTATTTATCACTGTTCATGATATTTAGTTTCCTATACTTCCTATCAATATTATTAACCAGTCTTAACAAACAACAATTTGAGGGATAACAATATCCGCATCTAACAAAATAATCAACTTTCAGATGTTCTGTCACATGAACTACACAATGCAACTAACGGGCAACTGTAAAATGATAAAATCTAACTAAGTTTGCAGTATTTACAAAACAAACAAAGTAAATTTGGAAATAAAAAACACCATATTCTTAAACTTTACTTTCATAACCTCCAGTTCAGTTCGTCCGAAAACCTTTTGCTGAGTTGAAGGAATTAGATAACATTATCAATTGTGTTGCAACCACTCAGCTTAAAAAAATTACAAATTGCCCCCAACTTTACACTAGCTATTTGTGATATTCAAATAAATCAGGATATATATACATAAAAGTAAATGCAATATTAAAATTTGGAGTTATTTATAATATTTGGAAACTGAGGGACATAATTGTACACATAATTGAAGATGCGAGCAATTTCATTTGGTTCCACTGCAAGCAGGTGCATTTAAGTGATTTTGTAATTTACAATTTCCAAAATTAGTTTGGTATTCTTCTCAAATACTCTAAACCAGAATTCTACTAGCCCCCTTGAACTAAATAAAGTCATAGTGAAAAAGTTTCCACTAGGAACAGTCTTTTGCCAAAAGCCAGCAAAAAAATGGAAACACATACGAGTAACACACTTATCAGAAAAGCAGAATAATTTACCTCCATCCGGAATAGCTTGGTGGGTACAATGAGTCCAACTCCGACAGTGCTTCGGAAAGAATCTTTAAATTTCTGCAGAGAAAGTCCCTTGTACGCGTTCTCACTCAATTTGTTCAGGCTACCAGTGTTAGCAAACACGTGCCCATGTATACCGGCATCCCTCAAAACCTTCAGAGGCAGATCAAACGAGAGGTCCGCAAATGCAGTGACAGCAAGATCCCCGCCAACATGATCAAGCCCAGAATAATCTGATCCCTCATCACCAGAATTAGCTCTCACAACTCTTCTAGGCTCCGCAGGGCCCAATCCCCTGGTCTTGAAACCCAAAACGGAGAGGGGCCCACTTAAGGAGCAAACGGGAGAAGAATTGCCACCTATGAAAAACCTCTCGGGCAGATATGAGGGCATACTCAGTGATGCTCTGCTCCATGGAATTAGCACGCCGGCTGATATTCCCAAGTTTAGTGCAGCACGGGAAAATCCCAGGGGGATTGCATAACGAAGATCAAACTCCTGTTCAGAACATTGCATATGAACAAAAGAAATTATGCTAACTCATTAGAATTTCCAACGGAAATGGTTCTCTAAAAGCCGACTTCGGATTTATACAACAAGGTCTCTTTTACTTTCTGTTGTAAAGGGTTCACTAAAAGCCAACTCGGGATTTATACAACAAGGTCTCCTGGACAAGTTAGTGGCTTTTGTGGGTTGGCACAGTATATTTACATTCTATATCAAAAGTTAACATGGTAGGATGGATCATTTTATGAAATAGTAATTTATTCAAGTCCCAATGTTTCTTTGATTTGATTATATGGGATATTAAGTAAATATTTCAATTGCACAAGGCAGAGTATTACATGATTGCAGCTTTTAAGGATAAATAAGTAATTTTCAGTCTTGGCTCAAAATGATAAACAAAGGAAATAGAGTGATACCCACCCAAATAATATCCTAACCTAGGTAGTAAATGAGCCCCAAACAAGCTTTCCTAGCTACATATTGTAAACTTGCAGCAGTGAGAAAATAGGATAACTCTTGCGGAAATGACAAAAGAAAAATACAGATCCAGAGAAAACCCCGCATGACCTAACCTAACATATGGGGACATGCAGATTGAAGATATATAACAATCCAAAGTTCAATAAGAGGACTTTATAGTCAAAACTATAACAACTTTGCTCATCAAAATGATATAAAAATAAATAAAATTAACAGATGGTTTATCATGAACTTGGGAAATATACCATATATCTTCTTTGCTTTTTTACACACTGACTTATAATTGGAAAAGCAGGGAGAAATTAAAACAACACAAGACCAGCAACAGACCTGACGAATGAAACGTAGGCTCCGAGCATCAGGAAAAAGACCACCAACTTGAGTAGTCGAGACAAAAGCATGGCCTCTAGTCGGCCTCAAAGATGAATCCCTTCGGTCAACTTTAAAAACATACTTCAAGGATGAGAGCAAATTATGTCCAAGCTGCCGCCTCACGGTGTGAGAAGACATTTGAGATGGATCTGTTAAAGTACGCCAGGAGAGGTTGTAGGATAAACTGTGCTTCCCAGTTTCCAACAGACCGAGTGAGAGACCAAGGGCTTGCTCCTTATACGAAGAAAACTTCAGCCAATCCTGGGAAACCATAGATATTCTTGCCGACAATGGAGTAGGAATTTCCTTGAATCTTGGCAGAAAAACTCCTGAGCTGACTTCCAAAGCTTGACCCCAGCCATAACCCACTGAACCATCCCATAAATCCCCATAACCAAACAGATTTTTCAGCCTCAGTAATGCTTCTAATGACCAAGATCTAGCCTAAAAAAGCACTTGAGAGTATCAAGAAATTGAGAATGATAAATACGACCTCATCCATACAAAAAGAGAATGTACATGAATGAGAAGGCACAGAATACATTTATGGGTACAAGCAATTGAATTGATCAGGAAACCTAACGGCTAACAACATTCTAGTGAAAAGGAAAGTTGAAGAAGCTTTGCACCAAGTTTAAGATGCTGTAATACTGTTTTCTCGTGTATTGCTTACTCAGAGTGTGAACAGTCATGTCAACCATAAGAACCTTCTTTTGATACAAGACACAAAACTTAAGTTACCAAGTAACTAGAAACTGATATTCCACATATACTTAATGTAACAAACACTATCAAAATTGTGTGGGACTGTGCAGTTCATTATATGTGTGTATCCATCTCCTGAAACCCAATTTATGTGGGTTTCCTGATGGTAAACTGAAGCTACAGAAGATCCCACATATAAAAACCAATCTAAATTAACTCAACCCAATTGAAATGCATCGAACTCCATAATGGAAAACTCCAAAATTCAAGCAGCAAGTAACACACAGATCCTAATGCTTTGGTTACCATTCGTCACACTAGGATGAAGAACGCAACTGAGGAGTTCGATAGAAACATAAATAAATTACCTCGGGTTTTGTATAAATCCCAACATTTCCAGAAAGTGGGTTCGAAACCTCAGAAACCTCAATGACGATGTTCGCAGTTCCTGGCAGCTCCGGCGGACCCGCGTCGAGGGTAATATTGACCGAATCGAAAATTTCGAGGCTCTGCAGCCTCGCGCTGGCATCAGCGGCAGCGCGCAGCAACTGCTGGAAGCTAGTGGCGTCCCTGAAAATCGATTCGACCTCCGCCTCGATCAAGGAGTCCTTGGTCTTCGTGTTCCCCTTGATGATGACGTCATGGACCCGGACGGGGACTTGCTCCTTCGATAGACGCCTGAATAGGGAGTTCATGTTGGCCCGATCCCTCTGAATTCGGGACTCAGGAGTCATGGTTTCGGATTCATTTTCGTTTTCTTCTTCTTCCTCCTCCAGCTCGGTATCTTCTTCTTCGTCATCTTCGATTTCCTCGTAGGGTTTCAGGTCCGGAATCGAGCTCTCCTTAGGGTTGGGTTTCGGGTCAGCATCGGAACGAGCTTCCATGGACGGAGTATCTGAAGTTCACTGAGTGTAATGAGGAGTTCCTAAAGTGAGGAGAGGGCGGCGGGCGGAGGCGGCGCTAGGGCGGAGTGAGAGTATGATGGTTAGAGGAACAAAATCATTGACACGACTGTAAACTTGCAGCAGTTTTACAACAAGGTTGGGGTTAAAAACGTAACTTAGATCAAATATTATTATAAATATTTTTAGGTAATATTTTTTTCCTTTTTTATTATGAGAATGAATAGTTTTGAAAAATTCTTTTTACACATAACAAACGAAAATTAAAAGGTAGAGTGAATGTATATTATTATTTTATATGTTTATTTTAATGGTTAATGAGTATTAATCGTTTAGTGCGTTATTGTTGTTAGGCTCAATGCCTTAATTCTAATAATCCTATAGTTTATAAGCTTAATGTAGCTGTAGTAAAGTACTTGACTGATGAAAAATCAAGAATTCAATTTATGAATGATCATGTAGACTGAATGTTACCTTACAACACAAAGAAAAGCAGTAACAAAAAATTGAAATAGAATTTAAAGGCTTCTAGAGTATCGTGCTGTTAAACTGAAAGTAACAACAAGCAACTCAAACTTCTAAGTCCTTAGGAACACAATGAGCCGGTCGAAAAGCCAATGGGCCTGCAGCACACATGAAAGCCTCGTAGTTCTGCCCAACAATCCTCTTGCCCTCATAACGAAGTTGGGCCCAATAGAGGCCTTAATTTACATATGGGAGGAGGTTACAAGTCTTGAGAGGTGAAGACACTAGCTTGACCTTGCATGAATGCAGGTGATGGTCCAAGAAAGAGTGGCCCATCTTAAAACCCTTTAGCTGCTAGTAAAAGTAACCGTTTTTGTCGGTCTTGAATGCCTTGTAGTAGCTGATCCAGTTCTTGTGGTCCTTTCAGGCGATGCAGCTTATCGAGCAAGATTGATTTTTTTTCTTTTTACTTGCTCGAGCTCGATTTATGACGTTCGAGATCAACTCGACAAAAGAAGACAACTGCTCAAGCTCGGTTTGAGATAGATTGAAATCAAAATGCTCGAAAGATTGCTCGAGCTCGACTCAAATTTCAAGTATTGTAATATTTATATATAAGGGGTATTTTTGTAAATCACTAAATATCTCGAGTCGCTTCCAAAACCTATACTCAAGATCGACTCGATAATATGATCGAGCAGCTCGAGTTCGGTCAAACTCGAGCTCGATTTGAGCTTAGACTCGAGCGCTTGCGAGTTACTCGGGTCGTTTACAACCGTAGACGACACCCTGACCACCACGTCGGTGGCTTTCTCTACCACAGGTTTTGACAATTTTTTTTTTTTTTTTTTTTTTTTTTTTGTTGCTTGCTTTTTTAACTTGGTAAATAACATAATTTGATACAACACACTTCTAAATCCTATTCCTAACTTGTCTACCGTTATAATAGATTATCTTGTTTTGAAAATGTGATTCAGAGGATTGTGTTAGAAAAATTTTGAGTGTTGTGTACTTAGATGTATGAGACGACGTGGGCACGACTAAAGCTGTGTTGATGAATTGATTTTCCTAAATTGTGGACGTGATGAGCATTTTTTTTATAGTTTATGTCACGAGCAAAACTAGATATGGTGACCATGAGAGTTTCGTCTATTTTATCAATTTTATGGTATCATTTAATTGTCCAATACAATGAGATGTTGATTAGCTACGTAATTAGTGACAGTAGTGCTCATAATCAATTGTGTCATTTTATCTCAGGAGCCCTGTTTAAAACATCAAAACTTGAAATGTGAATAATAAAACTTAATGATTATTCTGAATAAGTTTGGACCCGACAGAATTTGCATACTGTTGCTATCATGTAAGAAATGAATTTTGTGCTTTGGCCATAAAATAACAATTCTATTGTTTCCTTTTATTTTTTCTTTTTCCCTAATTACTCCATGCATAAGCACAATCTATTTTAGCTTTTTATTTCATCTACATAAGGCATAAGCTAACAAGAAGGATTATTTCTCCTTTTCCTTCTTCCCCTTCCAGCCTACTTTGCATTCCAATTATTCTCAGCTAAGAACACTATCTATGATCTCCACATTGACTGGTCAACCTTCATATCTATTGCATGTAAGATCCATTTCATTTCATCAACTANAGTACTTACAATTTTTTCAACTAACATCATTGGACATAATCTCGATCTCGGCCCACCAAAGCGGCGAAAGTTTCGGGACAGCCCCATCAGGCCCAATCCCTGTCACCCCCTTCAGCCTCTCACAAACCTCCCTCATGGACACCCTCCTTATTGGGTCGGGCTCCACGCAGGCCCGAATCACATCCCCAATCCCCAACAGCTGATCCACGCTGTACGTAGCCAGCTTGGGGTCCACGATATCCTTCAGTGAGTCCCCCCGCGTGAGATAATCCTCCGCCCAATCCTCGATCCCCGAGCCTCCACCACCGGCCGAGTAAGGGAGCCGACCAGTCATCATCTCGAAAAGTATGACTCCGAAGCTGTAGACATTGTCTGGAGGGGCCGTTTGGCTGTTGGGAGAAGAATCCCAAAAGACGAAATCGGAGATTTTGGCCGCGTAGTCTTCGGTTAGGTAGACAGATGAAGAGGTTAGGTTCCTGTGGGACAGTGGGGGTTTAAGCTGGTGCATGTGGCTCAGGCAGTAAGCCATGCCCATGGCTATCCGGAGCCGCATTAGCCAATCCAAGTGTTCGGCTTCTCTTACTGCACGGAGATTGATAAAGACAAAAATATTTTACGGACTTGTGTAAAATTTTGTGGTGTGGTTTGTAAAGCTATGTTTGGTAAAACTAGCTGATAGCTTATAAGTGAATTTCGAGCTTATAGCTGATAGCTTATGGCTGAAAAGCTAGCTGATAAGATAATAGTTTTTTGGTAAAATTAGTTGATAAGTCAGCTGAAATAAAAATTTCAACCGGCTTATTTGAAAAGCTATGCAAAGAAGCTTATGAGATAAGCTCGAGTTTTTTAAAAAAGCTCATCCTACCAAACTAAGTTTATTTGTATACATACAGTTTATAAGCTAATCAATAAGCTATAAGCTAGTTTGTGGTGCTTACCAAACACACCTTAAATATGCGGTGAGATGAACATGATAAAAATGGAAACAACATAAATTAAAATAAATAACTATGCGGTTGGATGAAGAATTAAAAAAAAAAAAAAACTCACTGTGTATATGCTCAAAGAGAGTCCCATTGGGAGCATACTCGAAAACCATCATCCTAGTGAAAGGTTGACCCTCCTCACAATAACCGAGCAAGTTAGCGAAATTCTTGTGATTCACTTTTGATAGTGTGTCGATCTAAAGAAAATTCACATCTAAAGAATATTAGTATCATCACACGAATATTCCAAATATTATCCACAAGCGTAACTCGAAATGTTTGTGTGGAGGAAACTTCCAATTTTCGACATGACGACATAAAAAGACGCACCTTCTTTCTGAACTGGGTCTCGAGAGTACTCGACCACTCTTTCGCTGACGTGGCAGCTATTGACACGACGGCTATCTCGACCCCACTGGATAATGTGCCCTTATAGAAGGTACAAACGGATGTTGATCCAATCACGTTGCTAAAATCTTCACAAGCGGCCTCGATTTCTGATCTCTTGAGCTTTGGGACCCCTAAACACCAAAATACGAAATAAATTCAATATTTGATATCAAATGTTTTACTATAATAAACAACAATGCATGAGTTCAACTCGTATAAATCAGAGAGCACTCCTATGGGACTCTGCATAAAACAATAGGATAATTACAAAACGAACCTTGAGGTTTAATATTATTACTTTAGTAGAAAACTCAGATCATCGAAATTTAAAATTCCCGATAAGAAGTTAAACTCACCAGTAACAAATGCCTTTTGCAGCTGTCCGCTTAATCCAGTGGCCCACGGCTTAACAGAGCCCACTTTTCCAGTTCTACAGCAGAAGACAAAAAGGACTATAAAAGCAAGCAATGCAGGCCCACCGATAGCTCCTAGCAGTATGAGCCCAAGATTACTTCCGGAGTTATTATTCTGTGTGGGTGGCCTTTGTTCTGGTGCAGGAAGTGCAGTTGGAAATATACGATTGTCACGAGATGTGTCATTGGACAGTGGAGATTGAGTTGTGGATGGAGAAGGAGAAGGAGAAGGAGAAGGAGAAGGAGAAGGAGAAGGAGATGGAGATGGAGATGGAGATGGAGATGGAGATGTAGATGGAGATGGAGATGGAGATGGAGATGGAGATGGCAATGGAGATGGAGATGGTGTAGGTGATGGTGTAGGTGATGGTGGAAATGCGAGAGGCGGAGGATTATTTCTTCGTGGGGTTTGTGGTGTCGGTTGAAATCTGAAGTATGGTATTCTCTCCATAGGACGTGCTTGTAATAATGCACGCGCAGCTATGTTTCTTGTTGGGACCGAATCTCTGCAAGTGTAAAAGGACT